TCAAATATCAATTCTTCAAATATAATGAAACTTAGCCAGAATTATGGTACTTGTTTATAAATGGCAAAAGATACCTTCAAAACAAAATTTTATTTTTACTGAAAAATACAATGTGTTACTTTACTGTCCTTTCAGGTATATGACATTCAGTTAAAGAAAATAAGTGCATTGAAGGTATGATTGTCTAATCACTAACCTGGACATCTGAAACTAAATCAAAATAGCCCAGCCCATGTGGCTCAGTGGTTGAGCACTGACCTATGCACCTGGGGGTCAAAGTTCGTTTCCTGATCGGGGCACATGCCTGGGTTGTGGGCTTGATCCCCGGTAGGAGGCATGCAGGAGGCAGCTGATCAATGATTCTCATCATTGATGATTCTATGTCTCTCTCCCTCTTTTTTTCCTCTCTGAAATCAATAAAAAAAAAATTAAATGTAAACTATAATTGAAAAATAAAACTTAAATTAAAAATACTTTTTAAATAAATAAATGTATTGAGTTTTTACTAAGCCAAAACTCCTAGGGAAAAGATTGAGATCTGTGGTAAGAAAGAAGGAAGGACAGATTACAAACACAGAGGATGTTACTGTCAACAATTAAGTAGTTAACAATATCAAATACAGCAGAAAGGTCGAACAGGACTGAGACTGGGAACAGGTCACCAGACTTGGAAAGGTCCTATGAGGCAGTCTCCGCAGCATGGGGCAGCAGGAGCTGGACTGCCTGCACTGGGAGAGAATGGGAGGGGAGCAAGTCAAACAGCAGCGTGATCTACCTTCATAGATGGTGGCTGACGATGGGAAGGAGGGTCGGAGAGCAGAGGGCAAGAATTATCCTAGAATAGAGACGACTTAAGCTTTTTTGTAGGTTGAGGAAAAAGAGCCAGTGGAAAAGGAGAGACTGATGTGAGAGAAAGAGTAGACAAATTATTAATCCTGAGGTTTTAAAAAAGATCAGTGAAGTTATGGCCTATAAAGTGAATTCAGAGTATAAAATTATTTTGCAAGGACTAGGGTAGTATGAGGATGCATATAATTTTCTTTAGATTAGGATTAAATGCTCCAAGATGACCACATCTATAATAATACAAGCATAATATGCTAATTAGACTGGACAGCCAAACGACCTTCTGGACGTCATTCTGGATGTCCTTCCAGATGAAGCAGTAGCAGTGGGGGCCAACGCAGAGGCGGTTAGGGGTGATCAGGCAGGCAGGCAGGTGAGTGGTTAGGAGCCAGCGGTCCCGGATTGCGAGAGGGATGTCCTGCCAGTTTAGGCCTGATCCCTGTGGGATCGGCGGGATCAGGCCTAAACCAGCAGTCGGACATCCCTCGAGGGGTCCTGGATTGCGAGAGGGTGCAGGCCAGGTTAAGGGACCCTTCCCACCCCCATGCACGAATTGCATGCACTAGGCCTCTAGTTCATAATAAGAGGGAATGACTGAAGCATAACAAATGAAAAGTTTCTAGAGTTCTGTTGAAATCTTTTGATGATCGCTGTTATGTAACATGCCCTGGCATATATGCACTGACTTACCACAAATAAGATTTACTCTATCTGTTTATAATAAAGAATCCCAACACCTCAAATACTGCAGTCATGAAACACTAAGCAGACTGCACAGCCTTGTAGACCCATCAGGTGGGAGATGCAGCACCTGACCCTGCTGAAACTTGCTTTTCTCAGCTGTGCATATCTTTCAGGACAAGGTCACACCCCCCCACTTGGGGGCTCTTAAAAACAAGGTCAGCGTTGGAGTTCATAGGAACCTGGCTTCAAATTCGGGGCTAGTACTTAATGTTTAACCTCTGGTTCCTTCCTTCATATGTAAAATGGAGACATAAGCTACCTTATAGGCCTACTCTGAAGATGGAATGAAATACTGTGTAAAATGCCTGCAAACAGCAAGTGTGCAATTAGTTTGGGTTCATTCTGTCTTTTAAATATGCCATGAATATATGCAAAATACTTTTTCTGAAAAAATTACAAGAAATTGTTTACAGCCGTTATCTCTGGGGAGAAGACCTGGGAGAGGGAGGCTATTACTTTTCATTTCGTATTTTTCTGCATTGGTTGGATTTGTAAAACAGAGACAGATACTGTATGAACCAAATTTTTCTCTTAATGTCAATGGAGGTTATCCAGGCAGTAAATGAAAGATCATTTTATTCTTTATTATCAAAAACAAACAGAAAACCTCAAATCAAGAAAAGTAAGCTCTGGGAGCCCGCCCACGCCTTTCCTTCCCCCTCTTCTTTTCTTCTTCTCTCCAGGAGTTACCTTTGCTTTTCTCTCTCCTAAGCTCCAAGGGCCCTTCTTTTGCTTCTGAAACCTGTTTCCTGAGTAAACTCATTCATTTTCTAAGTAGCATGTCTTTATATGTATACCTTTTCTCAAGTAAACAAGAGGCTAAAAGCGGCTCTAACACCAAAAGGGTCTGGGCATACTAAGGATTGAACTGACAGTTCTCGAAGAGAAGGGAATTAGAGAAAATACAAGTATTGGTGTCTCGCAGCCCACTGAGCTTGGCTGGGACAGAGGAACTTGACAGAAGCCCTGACAGCAGTCCCAGACAGCAGGCCAGAAGGACTTCTGTGATATATGAAGCAAACTTTAAACCATTTTTAAAAATAGATTTGAAAGCATTGCCTATATTTGCAAAGCTGTGTATTTAAACATCACAGGTGCCAATATAGAGGTCACTTACGTCATTCCAAGAACTCTAGTATAAAAATCCAAAGACTTCTTAGGATCCTTAATTCGCAGCATGGTCTGCTGCAACAGAAAATCCTGAGGAGAAACAGCACATATTAAACACCTTCCGGTTTTACCGCCTGTACCACAGTCCCCCACTGTAACAGTGTTGAGGAAGAAAACAACTTTTTGTCCCCCCTGTCCACCATGGAAATCATCTGGAAAGTTTCCATACCTACTATCTACAACCTGGGCTCTCTGCCCAAGGGTATTTTCTGGTCATAAGGGTAGGCAGGCCCCAAGTGCCAGGGAGTTTACAGCCCAGGAATGACCCTCAACCAATAACAGATAAAAACCCTGGCTTCCTTGCCCCTTAGTGGGACAATTCTGAGGCAGGTTCCAGTTTCTCAGAGGCTTCCCAGCAAGACCCAGCCCAAATACCCTCACTCTTACACACTTTTTATCACCTCTGTTTCCCACTCCAGAGATTTCTTAGACTACTTCCCAAGTAAACTACAGAGAACCAAACCCCTATCTCCAGTCTGCTTGCGGGTGTCCCAAACTAAAACAGTGACATTATAAATAAGAATCCAACCACTGTAAAATTTGTTGAATGAAGAACACACAAGAACTATTTATTGGTAATCACAGCAAGGAGTTACAAGATCCTAAACTCCTAAATAACTAAAAGCGTAAAATTCCTGTCTCGATTATTTCTATCCCCCGAGATTTTGCTTCCCAGCAATTGTCAGTGTGGCTCGAGTAGCCACAAAAATTCTCTATAAGTTTTAATGTTTTTCTATGCTGCCATTTACTTGGCATAGTGTAGTGACGGCGAACCTTTTGAGCTCGGCGTGTCAGCATTTTGAAAAACCCTCACTTAACTCTGGTGCCGTGTCACATATAGAAATTTTTTGATATTTGCAACCATAGTAAAACAAAGATTTATATTTTTGATATTTATTTTATATATTTAAATGCCATTTAACAAAGAAAAATCAACCAAAAAAAAAAATGAGTTCGCGTGTCACCTCTGACACACGTGTCATAGGTTCGCCATCACTGGCCTAGTGCGTCAGGATTCCAAAGCTCACCCAGGACTACCCCTCGGACCTGGGCCTGTGCTAGGATCCAACGAAGGGCCCATTGAGCCTGCCAGCTCCCTGCCCATTGGGTGAACTTGGAAATTTACTACTTTAGACTCCACCTCCCCAGAGGGACCCCTTCTTCTGAACACATTTTATATCCCAATCAGCCCCCCGACATATGCTGCAAACTTCAAAAAATAGATACCAGTCCACAAATCCCTCAAAAGACCTCCTTAACCTGGCCTTTAAGGTCTTTAATAATAGAGACGAGGAGACGTAAATCCAAAACAAAGGCGAGATCAGGCCAGGCTGAGGCCCAGTAGGAGCCTTCCAGCTCCCAGCCACCGCTCTCACGAACCCCAAAGGAAGTGCCGGTCCTCCAACTGCGGGTAAGTCAGGGGCTCAGCCTCCTCCGGGCCCACGCTTCAAATGCAGACACTGAGCCAAGTCCTGCTCAAACCCGAGACCCCCGCCTGGGCCCTGCCCAAGGTGAGGAAGGGAAGGCCACTGGAAATCAGACTGTAGTCTGGCCCCTCCGGGGCAGACCTCAGCCAGTCCAGCCCGGCCGCCCTCTGGATCCGGTTGGGAGCTCCCAGACCTCCTGGGACTGGCCACTGAAGAAGCTGCCCAGGCCTGACAGGACCCCTCAGACTTACATGACCAGGACAGAGCCTCGGGGAACGACTGTGGTGGCAGGCAAGCAGATCTCCTTTTAATGGACACTGGGGCCACTTATTCTGCCCTCTCTGAATTTGCTGGGACCCTTGTCCACTCCTCAGTCTCTATTATGAGGGTTGACGGACTAGTGTCACAGCCATTAGCCACCTCACCTCACACTGCTTCTTACTAAATCCCCCATCCATTCTTTTCTCATTCTACCTTGGTGCCCGGCCAGGGCTACCATGTATCCCCTCATAAAGCCCAGTTGTCCCGAATCACAGTCACCTACCTCAGTTTCACTCTCTCACCCCACAAGGCCGCGCCATTCCTTGGACTGTAAATGCCTTATCTCCTCTGTGACTGTCCCCTCCTCTGAACAAGAAATTTTCTCCTTTCTCAGGCTCACTGGGTACTCTCACCTCCGGATTCACAACTTTTGTCTTCTTGCAAAGCTCCCCTATGACATGACATGGCGAAGGGACCCCCTCACTGAGCCTTTAGATCCCAAGGCCAACATTCTCACCCCTTTAATGCTCTGAAAAAATGTGAATCTAAGAAATGTTGGCTGTTTACCTTTTGGTTTTCATTGAAAAAGTGAGGTTTCTAAGAGTGAAGAATTCTAATACATTTTAAAGAAAAAAAGAATATTAGAGTAGAAATACTTAATGGAAGGTCTGAGGCATGGTTATACATTTTTGAAGGACATAGAAAGAAGGTCTGAATGCTAATTTGAAAGTGTGAAATTTGTGAAGGTTGCGTATGTGATGAGAAGGAAAAGAGAAATGTTGAAAGTTCTAAAGTTAACTATTTGCAAGAATTGTAAAAGGGCCATTTAACTCTGAGCAAGAAGGTGAGGTTTCAGAGAGGCGGAGTCGATGGCGCCCAGACAACCGGAAAAGAGGCCCCTGCAGGAGGTCTGGCCGCCTTCCCCACCGTTATCCCGAACCCACAGCTGCTCCCCGCACCATGCCCGCCGCCCGCCGCCGGCTCTGAGCTGCCCCTGCCCCCGCCACCGCCCGCCGCGCTGGAGCGGGCACTGCAGTACCTGGGGCAGATCCAGCACATCCTCCCCTCTGGCTTCCTTAAGGACGACCGCACCGGCACCGGCACCCTATCGGTGTTCGGCATGCAGGCGCGCTACAGCCTGAGAGATGAGTTTCCTCTGCTGACAACCAGGCGTGTGTTCTGGAAGGGTGTCCTGGAGGAGTTGCTGTGGTTTATCAAGGGATCCACAAATGCTAAAGAACTGTCGTCCAAGGGAGTGAGAATCTGGGACACCACTGGGTCCCGTGACTTCCTGGACAGCCTGGGATTCTCCAGCAGAAAAGGAGATTTAGGCCCGGTTTATGGCTCTCAGTGGAGGCATTTTGGGGCAGACTACAAAGATATGGATTCAGATTATTCTGATCAAGGAGTAGACCAACTGCAAAAAGTGACTGACACAATCAAAACCAACCCTGATGACAGAAGAATCATCCTGTGTGCTTGGAATCCAAAAGATCTTCCTTCGATGGCCCTGCCTCCATGCCATGCCCTCTGCCAGTTCTACGTGGTGAACGGTGAGCTGTCCTGCCAGCTGTACCAGAGGTCAGCAGACATGGGGCTAGGTGTGCCCTTCAACATCACCAGCTACGCCCTGCTCACCTACATGATCGCACACATCACCGGCCTGAAGCCAGGTGACTTTATGCACACTTTGGGAGATGCACACATCTACTTGAATCATGTTGAGCCACTGAAAATGCAGCTTCAGCGAGAACCGAGGCCTTTCCCGAAGCTCAAAATCCTTCGAAAAGTTGAGACAATCGATGACTTCAAGACTGAAGACTTTCAGATTGAGGGGTACAATCCTCATCCGACTATTAAAATGGAAATGGTCGTTTAAAGTGCTTTTAAAGGAGTTGTTTGAAGGACACTGCCTTTAGGGGTTGGAATGGATGCTTAGGTGAAAATTCTTTTTTGTTCTAAAGAAAGAAGGAAGTAGGTAAAAAATCAGTTGGTAACTATCAGTTATTACTCATTAACTTAAGACTGTTACCACTGGCAAATATAGCTGTACTGACTCTCTTAGTAATAAAAGGCCTTAACTGAATGAGGATGTATGAAAATACTGAGATGATGAATAAAGTGAAGAGAGTAAAAACGCATATACTTTAAAAATATGTACATGCATCTCACTCCCACATTTGTATGGTTAATGATTTTAAGAATTATAAGTTATTCCCTCACATTTGAGCAAGCTGAATAACAACACCAGTTATGATAATGTATGGTTGGTGTGGTTATGAATATTTAAAGTTGTTTGTTTTATATATTGTTATAATAAAGAAGAGTTATGCATTAAAAAAGAAAAAAAAAAAAAAAAGAAAGTGAGGTTCCAGTCTCCAAGGCTGGCAGGACAAGGTTGCTGGATACTTCCTAAGCTAAACCAGAATATTCAGAAAAACAGCAAGGATTAAGGTTCAGTAAAAAAAGAAGTTAAGCCAGATTATAACCTCAGGAAATTTAAAGCACTAAATCTGGCTGGTCTGAGTGCAGTGTCCATCCATCCTGGCCCCTGGCCTCAACGGCTCCTTTCCTTCTCTTTCTCTTTTCCCTTGGATAACAGCCCATTCTAATATTCCCTCCCACTTTCACTGCAATAAAATCTCAACCACTCATCTGTCACCCCTTATCGGTAGCGCCATGGCGACTACCCTCTCAGGTTGGAGTGAGGAACTAGAAAAAGGAATCTCATACCCTTTAGTCCACCTCTTCTCCTTATACCTTTCAGCTTGTCTCCATGATCAGGGATATTTTTTTTCCTCTGTGGGGAAAACACATACACCTGTCTCCCCACCAACTGGACAGGAACCTGTACTCTCATCTCTCACCCAATGTAGGTGTGGCCCCCCCAACAACCAGTCTTTGCCTGTCCCCGTAACCCACCGTATCCTACACAAAAGGGCAGTCCAGATAATCGCTCTCCTCATAACCCTGTCTCAGGACCTACAAGAAACATGTGGATGCCCAACAAGGGGCAAAACTGGGAAAACAAGAACCTCACCCCCAGGGTAACCTGTTTTCTCCTTTCATATCACTAGTGAGGCAACTGAGACCCCTAATCTTTTCCCCCCTAAAAATAACATCTAGGTCTCAGTTGTATTTCAGCTCCAGGCCCAGAAAAGCAGCAAAACCAGACAAGCGACGCTGTGGCAGCCTCAGGACCAGTTTTTACCTCCCAAGTCACTCAACAGGACCGCTCTCAAGAGACTTCACCAACCAGGCTCTTGGGGAAATGCCACTACTATCAAAGTCCATTCCCCTGTGATGTCAAAGTCCAGACTCAGCAGGAAGCAGTTACAGAAGACATGCCCTTCGCCCCTATTCCATAAAACAAAAAGTCTGGAATGTTAGGTTTGATGGAGCAATTGAGTTGATACCCTTCCCCCCGGAACTGGCTTTTCAGGTCATTTCACTAGGGACATTCCCTTTGCTGAAGACCACATTTCACTTGCGGTGACCACATTCCATTCTCTCTCCTCTGGGTATGCATAAAGAAGTCTCCGCCCAGAAAAAATCCCGCGAAAAGTCCTTTAAAAGCCGTTGACTCCCCTCACTGGGTGCCGGAGCCATCCTGGCTCAGCCACCTGGTGTACGGATGATCGAATAAATTCGTAATCCCTCAAAAAAAAAAAAAATTACTGTCTCTAATACCATTGTGAAACTATCCAATTTAAAAATCAGGAAACAAGAGATGTGACTTAACTGATAAAAGGGTACAGAGAGTATAATAACTCATGGAGTTAAGATTATCATTAGCATTAATAATTTGCCTTGGGATCTGACATCACTAGAGGGTTTACTTGCATTAGGTACATACTCTGAGGTATTACTGCCCGTAGGTATTAATGTCCACATTTAACAGATGAGAAACATACTCAGAATGATTAAATGAATTGCCCCCAACTTTCTAATGCTAAGCTCAGGTCTTCTTCTACCTCAGGTATCTTCCAGACCAGGAGTCTCTTAACTATGTTGGTGCTTCCTAACACATTTTTATTCTTGTCATAACCAAGGACTTAACAAATAGGCCTGAAAACTCTGACCTCTCCCTTCACAGCCATACAGACATATCCCCCCGAAACTCACATCATCCTATATAATAAAAGGCTGTTATGCAAATTGTCCCCTCAGGAGTTTGACCAACCAGGATTTGACCACTCACTATGACGTGCGCTGACTACCAGGGGTCAGCGTAGAACGAAGGAAGGCCCCGGCCGGCCCTGATCGCTAGCCAGGCCTAGGGACCCTACCCGTGCACAAAATTTGTGCACTGGACCTCTAGTATACAATACAAATACATGTGATTCATTCAGCATCATTAGGAAATTATATTTTTATATTTTGCTAAAAATTTATTTTTAATCCTCACCCAAAGATATTTTTTCATTGATTTTTAGAGAAAGTAGAAGAAAGAGGGAAAGACAGAAATATCGATGTGAGAGAAACACATCAATCAGTTGCCTCCTGCATGCACCCTGACCAGGGTATGAGCTGGGGAGGAGCCTGCAACCAAGGTAGGTGTGCCCTTGCTGAAATCGAACCTGGGACCCTTCAGTCCACAGGCCAACGCTCTATCCACTGAGCCAAACTGCCTAGAGCTATTTTGCTAAATTTTTAAATAACAAAATTGTACTTTTATTACAAGCATTAAAATTCTCATTTAAAATAAAACTAGATTAAAAACTGTCGTAATACCCTGATCTTAAGGAATGTAATAACTTAATTCTTCATTCACAGTTTATAATCGCATAGAAGGCAGTTGGCTCTGAAGTTACAGTTCTAGAATATCTGGACAGCTTTTCTCAGTCAGGTGCCACATTCCTAAAAGTCTGTTCCAGCAATCAGCTGGAAAAGAAAACAGCAGCTACTGACATCCAGGCACTAGCCTGGCACTCACAATTAGGCTCTGATTTCTCCCGTTGAATGTAACTGCAAATATCCCTACAAAATTGCTCAGCGACTGCAATGGAGTGATACCAAAATAACAGCCACAGAACCAATTCCACTTCCTACTCTTGTTCCAGCAGAGATTAAAACAGGCACTACAAAACCCTACAAAAATAGCAAATATTCCTCTCAGCTAATGTGAGTGACTGCTGCTTCTCTCTCAGTTACAACAGTTGCCTGAGGCTGGCTCCAGGCCACAATGTAAGTACAACCAAGGCAATTATAAAGGCTGTCTCTGGCAGGCCTCACGGGGGACAGTTGCCTTCCTCACACCACACATGGTGCACAGCCAATACTCTGTAGTCTCTGGAGGGAGTTGCAGGCAAGAACTAAAATCTAAAGATGTTCTTGGTTATTCTATGAAACGCTAATTGCTGCTGTGAGGAACTTTGCAGATGGAATTAAGGTTACTAATCAGCTGACCTTAAAATAGGAAGATTAGCCGGGATTATCCAGCTGGGTTCAATGTACTCTAATGAGATGTTAAAAGCTTGTATAGGAACAGAGGAAAGAATGAAAGAAGGCAAAGAAGATAGAAGCAGAGAGGTGTGGCAGGAGAGGAAGTCAGATTCCAAGGGTGAGAAAGATTGAATGTGCCACTGCTGCCTCAGAGATGTAGGGGCATGTGTGCAAGGAGTTATGGATGGCCCCCAGCTGAAAGCCAGCAAAGAACTGGGGCCTCAGTCCTACAACCGAAAGGAACTGAATTCAGCCACTAATCTCAAAGAGTCTGGAAGGACTTCCCTCCAGAGCAGCGGTTCTCAACCTTCCTAATGCCTCGACCCTTTAATACAGTTCCTCATGTTGTGGTGACCCCCAACCATAAAATTATTTTCGTTGCTACTTCATAACTGTAATTTTGCTACTGCAAACAGTATGTAATTATATGTGTGTTTTCCGATGGTCTTAGGCGACCCCTGTGAAAGGGTCGTTCGACCCCCAAAGGGGTCACGACCCACAGGTTGAGAACCACTGCTCCAGAGCCTCCAGTAAGAGATGTAGCCCTGTCAATACCTTGATTTCAGTCCAGCGAGGCCATGTCGGACTTCTAACCTATAAAACTGAGATAGTAAATCTGTGTTGTTTTAAATCATTTACCAGTAACAGCAAACTAACACATCTCAATGTAAGCCCGTAACTTGTTGAGGTAGGGTTCGATCTATTACACAGGTTTTTAAAAATTATTTGAAATGTTAGTTACTACTATATATAGAAAACCCAAGCTATCTACTTATCTGCCTTAAGAATGTACGATGTGATACAGTTTTATTTCTTCCTTCTAATCTGTATGACTGTTATTTCCTTTTCTTGCCTTACTATACTGGCTGGAACTTCCAGCATGATGTTCAATAAGAGTGGTGACAGCAGACATCCTGGCCTTGTTCCCCCAAATTAGGAAGAAAGCATCACCATTATGCACAATGTTAGCTCTAAGATTTTTATAGATGTTTTTTATCAAGTTGAAGACATTCCCATTCCTATTATTTTCTGGGGGAAAAACATCATGAATGGTATTGAATTTTGTCAAGTGCTTTTTCTACATCCATTGATATGATCATATTTTTCTTCTTTAGCTTCCTAATGTGGTGAATTACTCTGAGTGATTTTTGAATATAGAACTAGCCTTCCATACCTGGAATAAATTCCACTTAGTCGTGGTGTGTAATTCTTTTTATATATTGCTGAATTCTATTTGCTAATAATTTGTCAAATATTTTTATGTCTACAGTTGTGAGGGATATTGATTTGTAGTTTTTTCTTTTTGTACTGTCTTCATCTGGTTTTAGTATGTTGGTAATACTAGCTTTATAAAATGAACTGGGAAGTGTTCCCTTCTCTTCAGTTTTCTTGAAGGGACTGTATAATTGATGTCAATTCCTCTTTAACGTTTGGA